TGGTTGGAAGCGCTCGAGTCGAGGAAGCGCCTTCTCCAAGCCCAAGAGGTCGAACAGCTTTTGCGGCAGAGCTTCCAACGTTGCCAGGCCGGTCCGGCAGAGCGGAGACCTGAGCAGAGACCCGGGACGATTTGTTGAGGTCGAAGAAAAGCGAGCCATGTGAGCCATGCCTTTTTTGATCGTGCAGAACATAGTGACCTAGTATCACCTGGTAAATGACCTTAGTCTGTAAAGTATCACCTGGTACATAACCTAGTAGCTCTTGGCTTCTGAACGAGAACCTCTCCTCCGTCGTGGTCAACAAACTCATTGTGGCAGTGCTCCAGCTTTGCAGGTGCTCATTATGCCTACATTACCACGACCTGCCCTTAGTACACTGAATGGGTCAATGCTTCAACAAAGGATTCAAGATGATTCAAGATTTGTTTCCTTTTTGACTCTGCACTCTAGTGCGGTCAGATCATCAGTTCCCCAAGGTCTCGCTTGGGAGTAACTGATGATTTATGTATGCTGACAGGGCTTTCCAGCGAAGCCAGTCAATGACCAACTAGCATGTTGCAACCACCGATTGCACTATTGTTGTCGGGATTTGTGCTTGTATATACTTGTATGGAGTGTATGAGGTGTTGTACGTCCTGGCAAGGTGTTGCCAGACTCAGGCAGCTTGAGGATGTGGTTGGTATTCATTGCCGGCTGTCAAGCTGCAAGTTCGCCAAGGACATGGTCTTAGACACGATGAACCACTTCTGAGGGTGTTTGACAGCTGCTTCACATCAATTTGGACTCTTGGCTGATTTCAATACCAGAGGTCTTGAGTTGAACGCCACCAGCTCTGTCATCAGCTGAGCCCAAGAAGATATGCTTCTTCCTGGCTTTTGAACCAAAATAAACACGTAGAACCCCAGCATCCTCTCGTTCCAGAACCGCCCAGCTCATGTGGATACTCCCAGACACTGGACTCCTACCGATCTACCGCGTGCTTTGCGGCGTGCGCTTGGCCGCCCTAGGAACGCCATGGAATTCCCCTCCACCGCTGTGCCCTTAGGGCTCCACGCTGGAGCGCCCGTCGGAGTGCAGATCGTGTCGTTGCCGAACAACGACGAGCTGACCATCTCCATCGCGCAGAAGCTCCACGCCGCGTGCGTGGCGCGCTGCGAGACGCCTGGGGCGAACGAGCGTTAAAAAGACACGCTGCACGAAGCGCGAAGGCTTCAGGGAGAGGTTGAAAAGGATGGAGGGGTTCGATGTTTGGGACAGTTCTGTGGATGGTTGAATCAGAATCTGTTGGTGGTTGAAACATGCGCAGATCGGACGGATCGAGTAGCCTTTCTTGCAAATGTTTGGCAATTACTTGGTGGCACTGGGCAGTCTCAATTAAAGAGCCTGTTCTGGAGGACTTTGAAGAACTTCCACCACACGCGCATCTTTGTGTAGCAGGCCATACCAGCTTGTAGCTTCTAACTTCTAACTAGCATTTCATCCCGTTCAGTCGGTTTACTTCAACTCCTCAATGTTGTTTCACAGTGGGCGAACATGCATCACTGATGGACTAATGGTTGCTTCTCGGAGGTCCCTGGAATCAAAGCTGGGGACTATTCTTCATTCATCGTGAAGGCGGAGGACCCACTGGACTCCACTGGTCCGAAATTAGGGCATGTGGCATGTGTTTATGTTTTTCCAGACAGCTTGTATGATCCAGAGGTTGGGAAGTCAGTCTTGGAGGGCACTGAAGATTGGCAACTCGTGAATCCAGGTGTGGGACATTTTGCCAAGAAACCAGCGAGAAGCTTTTTTGTTCACTTTGGGGGTCCCCCACTTTTCGTCGACTCACTCCACTGGTGACCAATGGTGAGACCGAGATCCGCGCGAGACCAGGACCTGCGGAGAACTCGCGAGAGGCATGTTGAGACTTATATAATTTGGTGCATTCATGTGTTGTTGTCATGCAAAGAAATGGATTACAGATGTTTTAGCCCTTTGACCGTTTGCATGATCGATCCATTGTTCTATGTTCACACGTATATAATTGCATCTAATTGCTTATAGCATCCTAGCTATAGCCCTTGTTTCGGGTCTGTGGCATTTGACAGGAGATACATAAGAGCGCACTTTCAAGCTGGCGGGTCGTCGACGCACCCGTTGTTCAGCTTGTGAGGTGGTACTTTGCCGGGTTCTTGCTGTGATTGGTGGCCGGGAGGCGTCGCACTCTACTGAAACTGATCGATCGCGCCATTGTCTCAAGGGTCAGACTGCCGCGAACACGGTCCGCCAAGGATCCGGTCAACGATCCGCAAGCAGTTTGACGTGTTTACTACTCTTTGATGTTTCTTGCATCATGTTACTCTTGACTCATCAATTTATGTGTGACCCAAACTCCCCGTCTTGCGTGTGACCGGGTTCCGGCACACCCCGGTCTTGAGGCCGAGCTCCGGCGGTGTGAGTGCGCTGATTGCGTGCAGGTGATGCGGTGATGCGTCATGTATTTTTGGGGACTCGAGTGGGATGAAACTGATGAAACCGAAAGATTGTGAGTGCAGATGCTAAGCTTTAGATGTCGTGAATGTGACCATTCTCCACTCTTCATCTATTTGGATCTGTTTTGAGTCCGGAACAAGTGTTGTTTTTGTCCTGCCACTATGGAAGGCTTAGCGACAACCCTTCGACCGCTCGGCGATGTCAAATCTCTTTACGGATCTCCAAAACACAGCTGGCACAGGACGCTCAATGAAGAGATGCCCCACCCGTTTGAACATGTGCAGTCATCTCCTTTCTTGGTTGAAAGTTGACTTCACATTAAATCAGCAGCCAGAGAGGTACACGGAAGGCTGAATCTGAAGTGAGTATGTAATTTTTTTCGGTTTGATACAGGGAGGTCACTCATTTACGCTTGCAAAGCCTCCGGTTCAACGAGATTTACAGATGACCTGCTGATTATTTGGGTATGTATGCATACTGTATGCATTTTAATAGTGAGATCCCCAACCGATGAGTTTTGGTCTATTTTCCTGCTTCCAGGGGGGTGGAACTGGGAGATCTCTCTATTTCAAGACACGCCCAACGTGACACGAGAGATGCATCCTTCCACGTGCTCGGCTTTGTACAGCCATGATTTGGAACCCATCATTGAGCTTCTATTCCTCTTGGGAAGCTCATTCATTGCTCTCTCTCTCTCTCTTGCAGGCCAATGGGGAGGCGGTGCAGTTTCTTTCCCGTCGCAGTCGCACTCCCAGACACGACACGAAGGGCTTGGGGGGGAGGGAACCGAGGCAACCGAGGGAACTCGGGGATTCAGAGTCGTCACCGTATGACGTACCGAGAATAGATCCGTAATGAATAGATCTTACATCAAGAAGGGGGCTTATATATATGGTTATATGGTGGTGAATGCATCTTGGATGTTGAAGGCAAACACCTGTCGTGAATCTGTGTTTACCATGAACCTTGGACACAGCATGGTCCGACGACGAGTGCATGTGCAAAGCACCGTGTTTGCCGTACCCTCCGGCAGCTTTTCGGGCTCGTAGCCCCCCTTCATGAAGCTTAGAGCCACCAAGAATGGATGCCCGAAGGACGTATGCCAGGTGATAGCAAAACTCAATGAGCATGGGGAGTCAGACAAGTTCCAAAAAAGGCTGATATAGCCAGGCCAGACACCAGACACCTCAGTTGTCCAAGCTATTAAGCTACCATGTGCTAGAAGATCATGTCTCCGATGGTAGGTGGCCAACGGGATCCATTCGCTTCGGAGTCTGGAACGGCGCCCGACCTTCCCACTTCGCTTCCTAAACATTAGAGCAAGGCAATAAGGCCATCATATCGCATGAGTCACCCAATCCCTTTGTGGGTGAACCTCTTGAAGACCACTCCAAAGCCCCTCTGTCCGCCAGTTGTGCGGCGCCCATGTCGTTGGCCTGGCCCGGTCCGTGCCTTCCGGCCGCGCTGGGCCTCCCGCGCCCGGTCCGTGCCTTCCGGCGGTCGCGATCTCGAGCGGCGACGGCCCTGCGAGCAGCACAGGACGACAGCACAGTTCGTTGCGATGTCCCATTTTGACTGGACACATGAATGAAACACGAAAAAAAATTAAATATATAATTAAGATAAGTGGACTGTTTCAGTTTGACTGGACTGCCTGACGGACTTTCTGTTTGACTGGCTTGCTGTTTGACCGACTGACCGACCGACGGACTGACGGACTGATTGACGGACTCACCTTCAATCTAAGCTGGGACTCTTCGTCATTTTCATCCACCCCTCAATCTCCTTTGCAGTACCCTGCAGTAGGGTACCTAACGTGCTGCAAATTTGTCAACAATGTACAGAGAGATGAGCCAGTTTGGTCAATTCACTACATCAATCAACCCTGGGCTCAATGAGGATGCCTTGCCTCTGGGTATGGCGTTGGCAGCCTATGCGAGGAAAGTTCGCAGGAGACAGGCCGGGACCTCTCAACCGACCAGGCCAAGATGAAGAGCGAAAGGATCGTAAGATTCGATGATTCGTGTGAACGAATCTTACGACCTTTTCTGGTAGAGCTGTCCTGCAGTGGACAGTGTACTCGTATGTGTACTTGTATCTGTATTTGTTGTATGATCGTAGCCCAACAAAGGCAGCGTCGTTTTCCAGCCTTGCGCCGCAACACCTCGTCAGTTGTGCATTTTGGTGCTCTCAGGTGCTCACAGGTCTTGGACAGATCTGTTCGGTGGCCAGCTGGCCCGTGGAAGCTGAGAACCTCAGGTGCTGCGAGCAGAGCACAACATATTGCCGTACCGCACAGCCATGTTCTTTCTTTTGTGATGGTGGTTTGCTTCTCTTTTGCAGGGAGAAGGCTTGTGCGAACGCTGGACACCTGTTGGGAGAGAGAACAATCTCCAGGTGTAGGCCTCCAAAGGAGCAAAACGATCAATTGTTTAGTCCTAACACCCTCTATGTGCGCAAGTGACCTGACGTCGGTTTTGCCCTGCGAACTGTACTGCAGGAGTGAGGTATTCGCTGGCGAAGTGATGAAGAGTCCATTGGACTCTCGGAATTACAGGGCCTTGACCCTGCAGAATGGCATGAAGGTGGAAGACAAATGGAGACATCGAGGAAGACCATGGAAGACCTTCCAAGATCCTTTGAGCTGGATGGCTCCAAGAGCACCACATGAGACCTCCCACTTTTGAACTAATTATTTGTTTTTTTCGGCGGGCCAGTAGCATGTGTCACCTGCCAAACATTTCATGCTTGGTTTCTACCGTCAGTTCCCCCCAAAAACTACTGTCAGTGACGCCTGCAGGTCTTGCTGGCTTCCGACCCGGAGGCCATCAGTGCCGCTTGCGCCCTCTCGGTGCATCTGGGATTCTACTCAGATCCCGAAGACCTGCCAGGCTTGGCGCATTTCTGCGAGCCGCTGGGATGGAGTCGAGTAAGACATCAAAGTAAGACTGAATCAAAGAGACGGAAGGGGACCAAAACTGATGGGGATCTGGGATTTACTTTCAGAGTTGTTCGATTATTTCTTGAGAATCCATTTGTCTCTGCAGGTATTTTTCCCAGTTCTCAGAATTGGATGGTTTGGTTGACCTGAAAAACGTGAAAAAGCCTTTAAGCCTTATGGTGCTGGTTGAAGAGTCAGAATATGTTGGAGTTGGTGAAACGGTGTTGGTTGGAGAATGGGTGAAACGGCGGTGCATGCCGACACGGGCATTCCATTCACCGATCCTGGCAGTCAACAGCACTGCAGACGCACTGGGACGGTCTAGTTTTGGCAAGAAACTTGAAGGCTGACAAGGGGAAGCAAGAAAGCGTGAACTTAGATTCATTTACTCCCCTGCAGATTAACATGGAACCCCAAAACCACTGGGTTGCAGGGGAAGATGGTCTTGTATACGGGCTAATTCTTAAGTTCCATGTTAGTTTGCGGGGGGGGTAGACTTTAGGAACGCGGACGGCCAAGGCAGACAGGAAGATCCGTATTCACCATTGTCATGTCATGCTGTCGTATAGCAAGAAATATGCAAACTTCATGAGAAGGATCCACTGAATGTTGGTTAGCCCCCAATATCAGCAACCATTGTGGGGTCAGTTGTGGGAGACCGACATGCATTGTATTATTCGAGTAGATGTTTCGCCACACCCGGATGGACTCCTGCCAGTCGTGATCGCGGTCTACTGGCCACAGCACGGACACCAAGGCACATGCTTTTTCTGGGCACCAAAGAGTACCCAGAGGAGAACTCCTTCGAGAAGTTTCTCACTGCCAATTCTGGCAGCCAAAACGCCTTTACAACGGAAACATGGATGGATGGTGGGCAATGATGGTTTCAACTGGCTAGAAAGAGAGTCCAGGTTGATGAATCTAACAGTTTCGTAGTCAGTTCTTTTTTCTGCGCCACCACCGCACCTGCTTTGGGTTTTGGACGCCTTTTGTGTTTGTCCCAAATCCTTGCTGACAGCGGCATGCCCAAGGAATCCGCGACCACCTACTTCTTTGATGTGTCACCAGGTGCCTCATTTGCAGCTCCAGTCACAACGAGGGCTACGCAGTGCCTACGGTGCATTCTACTGTGATTAAACCTTCTGAGGCTGCAAACCCAACACCCGCCACAACTTGGTCTTCAAAATGGAATGTGAAGCCAAGTGAAGCCCAACAGCATTTCTTGACCCCCCCCAGTTGTATAACAGACAGCCTTTGCTCACAGACAGCTCGTTTGAAGTCCGACCTCCAACGACCTGGTCAGCGTCGTTTCAGGCGCCCTGCAGGAGTCTCTGAAGCGTTTCAGCAGCTTCTTCCGGGAGCCGCTCTTCACAGCCTCGGGAATCGAACGAGAGGCGCACGCACGCCGGTTCCACGCCAAGCGAAGGTCGCTTCCACGTCTCGGGACGCGAAGGGCGCCTCCACTCTCCGTGCGATGGATTTGAATTGGCAAATGGTGAACCGCCTGGAATTCACATGGTGGAAGTGGAGTTCACCAGCTGTTTGGTTCGTGGAGAAAAGAAAGGCCATGAAACCACTACCAGTTCCAGGGAGTGTAACAAGGTTTGTTTTTTCCTGTCTATCCCCTACGTCCTGGACAGGTCTATCTAGTGGAAGAACGGATGAAGGATAAAAAGAGCAAGCCGCAAGCCGTTGGACATCGTAGAACACGATCGACTGATGGCCTGTCTGGCAAGGTGAGTGCGATCGACTCGGAATTTGCCAAGAACCGTGAGAACGCCTGCTGGAGGCATTTGCAACGCAGCTTTCATATGACCTGAAAAATCTCACATGTTTCTCAGCCGGAAAACAGCCCGGACATATTCCAAGGATTTACAGTCCGGTACTTGTACGCATGGTATTTTCGGTTCAAGACCCGAAGACTGTCGGACGCGACTCTCCCGACGGGTCCCGGACGCTTAGGACGGCTTCCGCTTGGCGCAGCTGCTGAAGAGCACGGCGGCTGAAGGGCACCCAGAGAGACATTTCGGCTGTGGCAATCGAGAGACGCTGCTGTCGAAAGGCAAGGTGTTGGCGAACTCGGCCATTTTCAACAAGCCGTCGAAAGAGATCAACCATGGCAGATGCGTAGAGAAAGGGAGTCTTCTGACAAGTCTATCCGAGTCTATTATATCCATTTCCTGGTTCTGTTCATGATGTTCTTTGTGACTTCACAAGGGGTGATTTGTATGCATCAACCTCGAGGCATGATGCTGGAAACAGAGAGCGCCAATGTTTGCAGCAGAGACTGACAGGTTCATATTCAATCTGCAGAATATAAAAGAGGGTGCACATTTCGAAATTTATATGATTTAAGAATTTTCAACATTTGGTATATTTTCCACATTCAATGTCTGCAGTATTCAACTTTGGTAAACACCTCGCCTGTAGACTGTGCCATAGTGCCTTTAAGTTGCCTCTGGGACACTTTTTGTGCTGCGAGGCCAAGAGGAGTTGAGGAATCAGTTGCTGAGATACTTTCAGGCAGGAGTCCAGTGTAGTGATTGCTTGTAAAGCTCTTGAACATTCTCAGGTGTTTCTTGTTTTATGCAAGTATGGGCGAGTTGGATATCTTTGTCGTTATTGCCTTTGCGGTTGAAGTACATGTTTGGACTAGGTTGAAACATCGTTTACCGTTTACCCATGCTTGCCCTGGTCATCATCCCACCGTCTAGATTTCTACCATGGGCCAAGGCGTTCTTGCCATTCATGTCCATTCCCGAACCCTGGCTTGTTCACTAACACCCCTTTGGCAATGCCGTCACTCCAGGGCTATGACCCGAGCCTCATGGCGCTTTGTGTGGTGGGCAAGGCCAAAGACAGTGGTTCTCGAGTGATTCAATTTCTGGTCGAAATGGTGCCAAGGCACTGAAATCATAGCTCGAACGGATAACCGCAAAAGATAAAATACATGAGCTGTGTCATGCTGTGTCGCTGATTTTGATACTATCCACACTTCACATGGATGCCTTTGATGCCAACAATTTGCTACATTCCCTGTGACCATATCGCAGAAACATGAGCATATCGAGGGTAGCTTCATATTTTGTTTGGGAAATTCCTTCATCTCATGCTTTGGAGGAACCTTTGAACGTCCTCCAATCCACGGTGGAACAATACCTGGGTGCTGTGCCCCGGCGGAGTGACGCGCCACGGCCGCGCTGGGCGGTGGCGCCTTACCCGCCCGAAAACCCGGCCAAGATCTTGGAGGCGGTGCCGGTGAACGAGCTACGCACCTTGGGCCGAATCTGAACAAGACAATGACGCACATACTTCCAGGCTCTTCCAGGTAACCAGTGCTCTGAGGCTCAGTTCTCTTGGAATGGACCTTTGACTTTGAGAACTTCGCTGCACGGAAAGAGTCACTCGCTGGACAAGACATTGCAGCAGTTTCCTAAGGGTTTACGGAAACGGGTGCTGTTGACAACAAACGCTCCAAAAAGTCATTTGTTGGTAGGAGAGGCTTTTGATTGAAGACCTGCCTTATGACTGCAAATGACTGCAAAGTTGAGCTCTTTTTTTCACCGTTAGCATGGTGCTTTCCTGAAGAAAGTGGATTCAGACACGAAAAAAACATGTTCGGCTGTTGATCACCCATCCGCCTGTTGAGACCCTGTCGTGGCTGGGGTCGCAGGTTCCTCTTAGCGAAGGCGCAGGACTACTTGGCACAGATCTTGGGACATGAGGGTCCTGGATCCATGCACAGCATCCTGAAAGGCTGGGAAGACTAAGGGCACCACAAAGAGGTCAAGATCCTTTTGAACTTCGAATGATCCTGAAAAGCATTGGAATACAGAGAGAGGGTGAAGCGACATATCATGCTGCTATTTAGTATGGTCATAGTTATAATATAGCAGGTTATAGCGTACATTGAGGTAACAATTCGACCAACTCTGAAGCTTCATGATCATTTAGCCCACCAATCACTTCCACTTGGACACAATATCCGACCAGCTTGGACAGAGTCTCAGCAACTTTCAGAACTGCCAGGCAAAGGTTGGGTGAATCGTACCACGGCGGGGGTGAGCTTCGACCAAGACGACTTTGCCATTTTCCGTCTCTCCTTCGATGTCTCTGAGGAGCTGAGGGAACAATGATTTTTTGTTCGGTTCGTTGCATAAAGACAACGCATTGGTAGTGGGTTGCATCATTTTCTTGTTGAGTTCTTGATGTTTAACGCCTTGGGCCTTTGCACTCCTCGTCTCGTTGGTCGTCGTCGTTGTTGACATTTCGCCTCGTGGCGTCACTCGAAATAGTTCGACGATCAAAGATGAAGCGTGCTTCCACTCCCGAAACTAACGAACCTGAAAAGGGCACTCTGAAAGACTGTTTTCCTCTAAAACCAATTGTTTTCAGGGTCCATGCTAGTTTTCAGGAGGGGACATGGTTTGGCCTTGACTATGGCTCTAGTGAAGACCCTTTCAACTTCCTTGAAACCTCAGGAGGGCCTGCGCCAGAAGAACGCCATCTTCGGCGCCGTCTTCAGCGTCCTCAATGCACTACGGCAGGGCAGCCCTCTTCAGGCAGTGCCGGACTACACCATCCAGGCATCGGGTGGAGGAACAGACAGGATTAAGACCTTCATCTACGTTTAAATTCTAATTAATTGGATTCTAATTGTTTCAAATAGCTTCTTGTTCCTAGTAGTAAGGCACTTGTTACTAGTAGCGATGCACTTGTTACTAGTAGCTTATTGTTTCTAATAGATATATTGTTTCTAATAGCTTCTTGTTCCTAGTAGTAAGGCACTTGTTACTAGAAGCAATGCACTTGTTACTAGTAGCTTATTGTTTCTAATTTATATATTGTTTCTAATAGCTTCTTGTTCCTAGGCACTTGTCACTAGAAGCGATGCACTTGTTACTAGTAGCTTATTGTTTCTAATTTATATAGTGTTTCTAATAGCTTCTTGTTCCTAGTAGTAAGGCACTTGTTACTAGAAGCGATGCACTTGTTACTAGTAGCTTATTGTTTCTATTTTATATATTGTTTCTGATAGCTTCTTGTTACTACTAGTAAGGTTCTTGTTACTAGTGGCGATGCACTTGTTACTAGTAGCTTATTGTTTCTATTTTATATATTGTTTCAAATAGCTTCTTGTTACTACTAGTAAGGCACTTGTTTCTAGTAGCGATGCACTTGTTACTAGTAGCTTATTGTTTCTAATTTATATATTGTTTCTAATAGCTTCTTGTTACTACTAGTAAGGCACTTGTTACTAGAAGCGATGTACTTGTTACTAGTAGCTTATTGTTTCTAATTTATATATTGTTTCTAATAGCTTCTTGTTACTACTAGTAAGTCACTTGTTACTAGTAGCGATGCACTTGTTACTAGTAGCTTATGGTTTCTATTTTTTATATTGTTTCTAATAGCGTCTTGTTCCTACTAGTAAAAGCACTTGTTACCAGTAGCGATGCACTTGTTACTAGTAGCTTATTGTTTCTAATTTTATTGTTTCTAATAGCTTCTTGTTACTACTAGTAAGGCACTTGTTACTAGTAGCGATGCACTTGTTACTAGTAGCCTAGTAGCTTATTGTTTTT